CTGTAATAGTCTTTTCTAAAAAGAACACTGAAGTGTTTTTACGAAACTTGTAAATATATACACACAATGCCTTTTTGTTAAGTAGGATCAATTGTATACCTTAGGCAGAATTCAGTCCAAATATCCCAGAACTGATAAAAGGATCTCCAGTCCCTTTACAAATGACCTTCAGGTTGGGAAATGTCAAGTTGACATATTAAGCCAATTCTAAAAGATATTAACCTGGCCTGTTTTTGGCTATTGATTAATACCCTGCACTTTCTCAAATCGTAGAAGAGGCACTAAGAGGTTTTCTGGTTAATGGGTGGATGCCAGTTTTGTATCTGTTAAACATGAGAGGTAATATTAGAAGGCTTATTTAATCATGTAAATGCAAAAAGTATGTGCAGTAAAACTTGGCAACCAAAGCTGGCTTAAAATACCTGTTCAATCAGAGCATCACTTACAATAGAAGGCCCACTAGTTCTTTACCAGTGGTACATAGACCCCTTGGAATATTTTCACTGGGTGTAGGGTATAGTTTGGCTGCTTATTGTGAACTAATTATACCAACTTTGCACATGCTAAATTATGTACAGAGCAGTAATAATAATTATTTTAGTTATTTAAAGTTCACCTGTCACAAACCAGCAAATCTTAACTTTTTCTCTAAATGTCCAGCTTGACCCTGTCCCATTTTTTAAGCTTCAGTTTTTATCAATTTGGCCAGCCCACCATATAAAAGGACCAAGAGGGGAGAGAAGAGTTGGCCAAGCTTACATTTTACAGTAAAAGTTAAGATTTGCATATAAGTAAAGTAACTCCTGTTTATGTATCTTTAATCAAATGCTCAGTGTGAATTGGCTGTGTTTGTGACAAGTTTACTTTAATAAAATATTGTATTGTTTGGAACAATTTACACACATTTAGGAATTACTAGTAATAGGCTAGACATGTTATGGGATACTTATAATTAGGGGGCCCATGCTAGGTGATGCAAGCTAAATGTTGGCTTTTATGAAAGGGTACATACATCCTTTCTAAAGAATATGGTATATCCAATATAAAATAAATCTTGTTTTTTAAAGGGGTACATTCTGTAAACAAAATAGCTCAATTTAAAGTACAACTAAAACTCTTATTTCAGCTATGGGTGGATGAAGGTGGGAATAATCACTCTCTAGCTTTTTACAACTCATTAAGCAGACCTACTGTCCCAAAATGTCACCCCTCCTATTGCAGCATTAAAGTGACACTAAACTCAAATAAGGAACATTTTTGTTACTAGTTAGGGTACTGGAATGCATTTTCAAGAATTAACTCCTAAGTTTAGTGTCACTTTAATTTCATTTTTTTTTTTTGCCAGATTTCTCTTGGTGTAGAAAAAAAGAAGAAACCAACAACCTGTCATTGATGACTTTCTTCTCAAAATGCTAGTTCCTCGGCTGTTTCTAGCATCATTGCGATCAGAATCACTGACCTGGAATGAATATGCTGCCAGTTATGTCAGGGCAAGGTTATAACTCCTGATCTGTAACTTGTTCTGGGTCATTATTAAAGCAAGTGGATCAGCATGACAGCCAACTAGCATTTTCAGAAGGAGATGTCAGCAATAACAGCCTACTCTCAGTACAGGATTTTCTTAAGGCTACTGAAGTCGAGAGGGCTAAGGAACTCAGGTGCAGAGACTTTGCTGCTGGAGTCCTTGGGAAAAAAGATTTTAAAAAAGCCATGCAGAATGAATGGGCATGCTTCAATAGCCCTAGCTATCTATTGCAACCCTCTTCAATCTTTCTAAGTTCAGTTCAACAAAATAGCACTCATCTAACAAAAGGTCTGCAATCAGCTCATATTAGTGTAGTGCAGTCAAGTGCCAGACTTGTCCTCCTGTACATATTTTGTTGCAGGGTGAGCGGGAGGTATTTGTACTGTTTAATGAGACCAGTGAACCAATTTAGCTGCTTCAGCTGTGACAAACATTACTTGGCACAGCCAAACATTGGCAAATCTTGGATTGGTTACTGCACAGCAGTACTCTGTACCACTACTAAATAAGCCTATCAGGGTTTTTATTCACAAAAGGGTGAAGAGTTTGGAGAAGGCAGGAGAAGTGAACAATCTAGGACAACATAGCTGTTTTGGAAAAGTTCTCCAATTCAGCTCACTTTCCGGTTCAGCTATATTGTCCTAGATTGTTCACTTCTCCTGCCTTCTCCAAACTCTTCACCCTTTTGTGAATAGCCCTGTATAGGTGTATGAAGACACATCTATATCTAACCCACAGTTATTACTAGATATCTGACATAACTGGAGTTATTATACAGTATTTTCCTAGCAAATGAAGCTGAAGGCTGGAATATTCCAGTGCACTTAAACGTCCCATTATTGGATACATTTATCAAGGCAAAAGTGGGGCAATAGTCTACCACTGTATCAAGGAGTAGCTGGTATAATGAAAATACAGGTCAGCAAGCAACTGTCTTTTATCAGCCCACAGTAGTATACTAGAATTCTAGCCATGTCACTAGAGCCTAAAAAAAGATGGTTCCATATTTACAGAGTAAAGCACAGCTTTATTTTGTCTCTGAAAGCAAACATTATCAGTGCTAATATCTCTGTTATACAGTCTTAAGGGTTGTTTGTGCTCTTTGAACGTCATTAAACAGCAGAGGGGGACTAATAAAGAGCTAAGTAGCTTGTAACAGTCAATCACACATTAGCATTGACTGGTCTAGTGCAAGTTAATGTGTGTAAACGGTGTGTTACTTCACATTTTCATTTGTAAACCTATATAATATGGTGCAAGGAATTAGTGAGGTCCATTGAAGCTTGCTTATGATATCTACATATGTCACCAATGTATAATCAGCTCGGGAAATCAATGTCGCTGGTACACAACCCCTAGCAATTAGAACTAGGTTCATAAACAAATAATGCCACAATTGTACTGTAATCATAGCACTTTGTTAGTTACTCATTGCTGTCCTGAAGAGAACCTTTACCCATATCTTTAAAATAACAACAAACACACCTTTAGAAATGTGTAATAATGACAATCTACAAACACATACTTCTAGATAATTGCCGGCTTTGTATTCTTTGCATCCTCTGGCAGTGGCCATGTTACCTAAGGGCAGATTACTAGTTCTCCTTTTACTTCCTGGATATCTGGCACATGTGACCATGCACATCATCTCAGGGGAGGAAAATGCCTTTCCCTGAGATCTGGTGAGATTACAGATGAGATTTCCCAGCAATGCTCTGCTGATGACAAGGCAATCCCAGTGTGCATTGCTTTGGCAAACTGAAGTCGTTTTGCCCTTTCAAAGCAGGAAGTGAATGCTCTGCAAATGTAAGTATTTCATATCACAGCATTTTACACCTGACATGTCTATGTTATTATTAATCATCATAAATAATATAAAGGGATGCATTGGTAGAATTTGATTTTTTAGTGCAAAGTCTGCTTTAATTAGGGCATTAAGACGACATAAGATTCCGTTTGATCCATTTTGTACAATAAATGGGGTATCCCATTAGATTAATGCATGGCATATTAATACAATACAATTCAGAGCAACACTGGACCTTAGATATTTATATGACTGCTAAATGGAATGCATCAAGTGTTCCAGCTTTTCATAAAACTGTAAACAAATGTAATTTTGTCTAGTGTAAATTACATTTTCAGTATTAATCATACACTCTACTGAATTTAGTAGAGCTAAACAAAGAAAATGTCATTTTCTTTTATAATGAAGGCAGTATTTAGGCAAAGTTTTTATATCCGATGGTCCTTGAGTCTAGTGCATAATGGATTTCTGGCAGCTTAATATTGTTCCACAAGTAAAGGTGAATTCAAATGAATTGCGATGTGGCTGCGCTGGGCATTTTTCAAGTGCAGCCCCAATGCAACTCCCACCACTGTGTCGAGGTGGTTACGCGGTGGTGTGCACTGAAAAAAGTACAGCATGCAGTCATTTTTTTCAGCGTAGCGAGATCTGACACAGTTCAGCCACGTTGCACATTGCTGTCCGACACGGTACCACCGCCTTGCACCTCTCTGTGCCTGTAGAACTTAATGAAATGTTACTTGTAACATTTCAATAAAGTTCTAAATAGAAAAAAGTACACAGTGCAATGTGTCGGGATCAACACAACAGTGGCTGGTGTGAATGGGCCCTAAATCTTACTAATAATTTAGTAATAGTGTAGCAATATAATTTAAATAGATTGGCTTTCTCTCTTCAGCTAAGCTTATCTTTCTGTCAGCAGTAGCTTATTAGAATAAGTGCTTTCTTTGGTATTGTGATATTTAAAACCATTTGGTTGTATTGGAAGTTATGAAAGTGAACAGAACCTCACAGTGAGCATGATAGGGTAATTTTGTTAGCTGGTTCTGGATAGGAGCATATAGAGCAGGACAGCCTATCAAACAGCACCCAGAGCCATTTATGTGGTCTTGCATCCCCAAAACCCTCCATATTTGTAATCTTTTTTTTTTTTACATTTTACAGCCCAACCTAAAGTACAGACAAAGGAACTCTAAGAGGTGTTTGATGTCTATTCATAGTTTTTACATTAGCCTGATAGCAATAAATATAAAACTAACCAGACTCTTTCCTCAGTCCTGTTAACCCTTTCTGTCTGTACCATACAGGGTACTGTCTGTACCAATCTACCATACATTCTCTCAGAGCTTGTTTTCCAAGTGCAGGACATTACAGTGGTAAAGAGAAATTATTTTTGATATTAAAATAGTTCCTCTATTACACTGACACTAATTTACCTTAAACAGCAGCCACATAGAAGCTAGAATCCCATACTTATATGAGATATATTTTTTTAGTTCCTGAGCACCATATTTAACTTAAATCAGTGGATTGCTGCTTCATTCAAAGGTGACTGCAATCATTTGTTTTATCGTATGCCAGTATACACCAATTCATGGGAAACAGAAGCCTAAAATCAATGAGCTATAGCAAAACATTAATGATCTAGTTACGTTACAAACTCCACTTCAAATACCATTTTATAGTCTTCTTTTCACACGCTGAATGCAATGTCACCTGTATAGCATTGTTGCCACATTTAAATAAAACATAGTGATATAGGTAAGAGGGTGTATGGAATGCAAAAAAATGTGCCACGTCCACAATACATCTCTATCCAGCAAATACGTGATACACCCTAGTCTCTGTCTACTGTCATGTAGTCGGGTTGAGGGAAGGATCTTATAGGAAGCCACCACCACAGATCCATAATATTGCTGTTTCCAATTTGCACAGCTTGCTTGTTTTTCTTCAAGACCTATGTCCACTGTGCTCTGACTCCACTATGGTGAGGGCTCAAACTTGTGGCCTGCACTTCTCACCCAAGAAAGTGGATTTAAATGCCTCTCATGGTCTTTGTCAGACTCTGGCTGGCTCTGTGCTCTTTCTGGTTTGGGGTTGCTGGAAGGTGGTTCTGGCTGCTGAACAGACATAGTTCTCCGGAGGTGGTTTCGTTTCCTCAGGAATTCAGGTTGAGTGTGTAAGCCAAAACTGCTCTTCCTCAGGATCATTCGGGCATTGTTCTTCTTAGCTCGGGAGTGATGGCTAAATTCCAGTGAAGCCAAGTGAGCCGCATATCCTTCACTTACAAACTGAAATGCAACATACATGATACAAGTTAGGACTGTTGGAAACATAGTTTTAGACTTTTTATTTACTAAGTACACTTTCTAAAGGAAGATATATGCAATGCTTTATGTTATAATGAACAAAATGCACAGAAGGGAGTGTGGAAGGTGAGTTGGTAGGCAGTATGTGCAGTAGAGTAGTGTGGAGAGTATGAGAGAAGCAATTTATGCAGAAGAGGGGTGCAGAAAGGCAATATATGCAGGAGAGGAGTGCGAAGGCAATGACAGTTGTCAGTTTGTGCAGGAGAACACTGGGGAGTGTATGACAGTGGGCAGTATGTGAAAGAAGGAGTGCAAATGGGTGAATAGTGGGCAGGATATGAGGGAGAGGAGTGACAAAGGTATGACGGTGGGCCTGAAGGAAGGAGTGCAAATGGTATAACAGTGGGCAGTGTGTACAGGAGAGGAGTACAGAGGGTATGAGGGTGGGCAGTATGTGTAGAAGTAAATACAATACAGATGCCACAGGCCACAGTTAATAAGGGGTAGGCTAGCATATAGTTTTTTTTAATTTTTGAGTTAGATACAAGGGCTTGCTCACATTAAAATTATTAGAACTGGGAGCCAGCATTGACTAGTAGGCCTTTGAAAGGCATTTGAAGTGCAAGAATGTGCTTTGGCAGGAATGGAAATATTAAAAACAAAATGTTTTAAAATCTTAGTGTATTAGTCAAAAATACGTGTTTCCTCAATGTAAAGGTGCCCATACACTGCACGATTCTCGTACGAGAATCGCGGGAAATCCCACGATCGTACGATAATCGCGCAGTGTATGGAAGGCGTGCAACCGTTTCTACTGTATGGTCGCACGACTTTTGCATTTCGAGCATGTTGTAAAACCAGCAGAGAATCGTACGATTTTCGGCTGGTTTTTAACATTATCGAGAGATAACAGCCGAACGGGCCGGTGTGCGCACGCGCACACTGCCCATTCAGCATTGCAGTCATCGGAAGCCCGCCCCTCAGGGTCCAAGATGGGCAGATCGTACGTTTTTAAAATTACTTTACATCCCTCACAAGACAAAAGTCTTGCGAGGGTTGTAAAGTGTATGGGCACCTTAAGGATTGATAAATTGTCCGCTATCTTGCTGTGGATTTGTGCTTATTTTCTGGACCATCATTTTTAGAATTTATAGGAATAAAAGATATTTCTTCAACTCTGCTAGCTGAGCAATACTGAGCATACACAATTACACGCTACTGTACTACAATACGTACCTGACACTGATTGTGATACTTCTTAGCTGCACGTCCAACTATATAGATTTGAGAAGATGACAGTCCAAGCACATTGTATACAGAAATGTCTTTCATTGATCCATAGGCTGCACTAATTTTGATATGACACTGGAAAAAGAAAAATATTGATTAAGAATTTTGGGTGCTTCTCAGTAACGGAGTCTTGATTGGAAGGCTGCTGTAATGTAATAGATAGATAGATAGATAGATAGATAGATAGATAGATAGATAGAATGTTTATTATAGCTATGCAACATTGAAAAGGACCGGCTAGGTGCCTCCCAGTTTTGTCATTTTAAATTTTAAAGTGACAGGTTAGAACAATTGTCTGTTAATTATTGCTGTCTGTGTCTTTCTGTCCTAGCGACAACTGATCCCCTCATTTCTGGACCTACTTTGAAAGGGATAACAAGGACAATCTACAATTGCGTCAAAGACGGCAATAAAAACCTTAGATATGGAATAGCAAATGTTCCTAAAAAGCACGTGAACACAGGCACATCTGCCACTCTCCATTGTGTGTACAGGGGCTCATGCAGATATGTGGCTTTTACACTTTTTTTTCCAGTGCAACATTACTGCTGTGCTTTGAGGTCATGAGAGCATATATGGGGCAACACATGGTGGCCACAGTGCTTGGTCGCAGTGCAGAACCAAATACCATGGCCCCCTTCACACTATGCCATTCCATTGCGGTGCACTACTATGTACAAGTTAACATGTATTGCATTAGGGCAGCCATTGCATTAGGAATGGGCTGCCAATTCATGCCAATAGATAGAAAAAGAGACTTGAACCTATTTTCAATGCAGCACAAAACAATGCAAGGCACATGCACCATGTTGCGCTGTACTGGGAGTCAATTTGGTTGCCATTTTGCATTGGAGTGCACTGCTTACAAGTAGACAGATTTGTATTCAGGTCTATGAAGAACCCAGTAACCCTGGCAAACTGCACCCTGACATCTTCCCGTCACCCAGGACCACTACCACTGCACCCCTGACTCTAATCTTCTCTGCCACCCAACACCTCCCACATTGCACCTCTCTGCCAGCTGGCAACTCTAGCACAGCATATTCCACTACTGCCCCCCTGACCTTGCTCCCCCAAGTCACCTTTGCAGTGACACACAGAATAAGAGAGATGGAGCCTGTATTTTCTATGCTTTCTGCCCACTTACTCCTCTCACTGATTACATCACCTCATCCACAGTAAGGCCTGTAGTGCCCAGTCAGTCCCCTGGCCTCTGGGGGTGCTGTGCACATTGTATGTGTTCCTGAAGGAAGGGGGAGACATATGCACACTTCTGAACTGAGAGGAAGAGGGAAGCCAAGCACTGAGAAGCCCATTACCTCCATTACTAAGGAACCCTTCCAATGCAGCAAACATTTTCTTCAAGTTCAGCATCCAAATGTATTCTTTATTTCTTTTAATTTTAGAGTAAGCATTTCATTTGAAATACAACATCACTATTTATCACTCCTCTATAATAAACTATTGAACCTTCTATATTATTTTGTAATATGCAATCTCTACATCAGGCTGATACTAAGGGGGAAACTGAAACTCCATTTTACTTTCTGTATTCTTCTTTACAATAAGTATAGGAAAAGGAATATGATTTAATAAGGGCCATTGCCTGTTTTCTACATCACCTGGTTAATATCACCGAGTAAATAAGATGTATACCTCTTGCATGAGATTTCTGAGAAATATTGTTTTCTGGCGCAATGGGTCATGTACAAGCCCATCAGAAAAGAAGATCATCCCTTGGGGGAAATTGTGCTGGGATAACCAGGAAACCACCCTTTGCTTCTGCATGTCTGGGCGACCAGTGATGTAAATGATTAGATAACCAAGATCTTGCCAATGCCTGAAACAAAATGTATTACATGGATGAGAAAGGAAAGAGAGTGTGCAGTATATCAAAAATCACTATAAAGTTATAAATGTGATTTTAATATGAGTCTCTGGACACTGTGTGCATTATGTCTGCTTTTATAGCACATGCAAATTTCAGATATAATAAAGTGACTTTTATGGCAGTTTTCAATACTTCACCTGACCACATCCACTGCTCCAGCTCTTACTTTCGGATCACTACCCATAATGGAAACACTGGCTGCAAATGATCCATCAATGCTAAAAACTACACACTCCATTCCTGGGGGGAGCACTGTCAGGTAGCTCTGTGCACTGCTCTGATCACCCCTAGAAAGAAGGAAATAAATAGTTAATAAAAGCAAAAATGCTTTTTCCTTTAAAACATAAAAATATATACCAAAGACCTCCCAGAAGATACCAGCACACTGCATCAGGCATGCAGGCTAGTATCTCATTTGCTAGAGGGACTTGAGCATGAGGGTCCCTTTGTATTGGTAATACCAGTCCATATGACTTGAAACAGTGGGAGTGAACTTTAGCAACTAATACCTAAATGCCCCCCTCCCCTCCTTACCCAATTAAAAAGCAAATTTAGTGCTAATAGATGATGGACTTTTTCTCATCACTAGTCACCTAGGAGGTGGTGAGGGACATGAAGGATTATGGGATGCTTACCTGTTCCCTGTAGAAATCAGGTAGGTTTTTACTCCCTCCTGATAATGATGATCCATTGAATCTCTTCCCTGTTCATCATGACATCAAGGGCTAACACAACTCTACAATTTTATAACCCTTATTATTAACACTAACTCATCTACCCCGACATTAACCACTTTAATAAAAACATTAAGGTGTCTATTTAATACATTCACATAGTTATTTTGTCCAGTGAAACTGCATATACATTACTTCTGTGCAAAATAACCAGCTGTCTAGATAACGTAGATACACTTTTAATTTCACAGCATGAATAGCTTACTGCTGCTTAGCTATATAATACTATTTGATATTGGCAAGTGACATAATATAGTGCCGTCTGGGAAAGTTCTTACCTTACAACCATCTTGATGGGGTACACTCCTACACCCAGTCTCTTATCTTCTGGCACACTGTATGAGACTCGTCCACTGCTGTTAGATATTTCAGTATCAAAGTAAACCCATCTTCCACTGGATGGCTCAGTCATGATGAGCATGTCTACCTAAACAGAACAGTAATGATGATTCCTTAAATATTTCAAAATGTATTTTTCCCCTGAGATGATGTGTATGTTCACATGCTCCAGTCACATGTGCCAGAGTACCATGAAGTGAATGGAGATGGATCAATTCTGCCCTTAGTAAAATGGCCACCCTGAATAAGCTGGGGAGGAAAAAAAAGGTATGCAAAGAATAAAAAGCCTGCAACTAGCTCTAAGTATCTGTTTGTAGATTGTCATTACAAAACATTTCTAAGGGTACCTTTGCTGCCATTTTAAAGATAAGCGAGTATATTTCACTGGAATCACCTGACCTTAGTAACTGGAAAGGGTGTCCAATACATTTGGTCCTATAGTGTATTGTGTTTTGAGTAAAAAATTATATAGCAGGCTTATTCAATAAAGCAGTGCCCAAAATACCAATAATATGCAAAGTGCAAAAATACGTAACAATTAGACTTGAAAATGCGTAATAAAAAAAAGTGAGCACATACAATATATATAGCAAGTACCTTTTCTCCTGTCAAGGCTACCATGTCCAGAGGGCCATACATGAATCGACCAACCAGGACCTGTAGGCCACCCTCCACCGCAATCACATCATTAACTCGATGATTGGCTGTGACATTCTGACAAAATCAAGATTTATTCAAGGTCAAGGACCTGCTCTCATAACTACACATCTCATAAACATCATCATCATATAGGCACAAATCTCTCTATCAACAGTTGTGCTCAGTTTACATACTCCTGGAAGAATTTGAAGATGTGGACCATTTTTAAGAAAACATGATTGATCAGGCCAAACAACTTTCTTTTATTCTTCACTCTCTTATGGTATAAGTATCTTTAGCATCCACCACATTTCCCGGTGTGTGCCTGTCTCATGATCAGCACTATTATTCGATTCACCAGCCCTGCATCAGTGTCGTAGGTGCTAGCAGTTTGAAACAGAGATCACAGATTTTTAGCAGCTCTTTAAGAGCCTGAAGATTGGCATCAGGGAAGGTACATGTTAAGTATTTGCTTTACAGGTTTCAAGTTCTGATTCAAAATTAAAATCCCTATCACGTTTTTAAATATTTAGTTGCTTTCTGTGTTAGGGAGATTTCATTAACTTCATATTGTAGAGACTCAACCAACAGTAAGTGTGAGAAAATATTTTTAAAGTGAGGGGAAATCCCACTTAGGCACCTGTCACCCTAACAGATGTGCCCATTGGAAAATCCCCCCTTCCTCTGCTGGTGACATTTTAGATCTTCAGTCATGTTTTGTCCCACTGATAATGGTCACCAGGAAAAAGAGAGAGGGTAAACCTCCTCAGCAGGCACCCAGACAATACAAACCTCACTGGGGTTTCAAAACTTCCCCACTTTATCTAAAACTATAAAAGCACAAGTTTTGGCCTTAGAGATATTTTAGTCTTCCTGGTATTATTCAAGGCAGGAATTAATTCTGTACTCTTGGCTTGAAATGCAAAGCTCTGACACTATTTACAACCCCACTAGCAGTTGGACATTAGTCCAAAAAACCTTCAATGTTACTTTAAACTGGGTTGATTACACTGAAATGGTGACCAGAGATGGCTGATGCTCACTACCACAGGTGCTCAGCCATGTAAATGAACCATCAGAAACATAACTGCCTATAGATAGTTTTCCTTGGGCCACCATTGCAGCATAGATATGGTAGTAGCTTCCCCCTTCCCAACCTACCCACAGGACCAGTGATAACTATAAATCAGATCCATTAATGATCCACATCATTCTCTTTTTTTCCCTCGCATGCTCAAGGACCAGTGGGTACCTGTCTGCCTTTTACCTACCACAATCAGCAGAGTCTGTTCAGGTTCAGCCTCTCCTGGATGCAGTCTCAGAGCTTAGTTCACTAAATGCACCAATGAGCCTGGAGGCCCCTTCTGTCTTTTGAAATTCTTTTAAAAGCGTCTTTAAAATTGTTGAGGAATGTATTTTTGGTGGATACACATAGAAATTCTGAAATACATGCTCTTCGTTGTAAGGAACAATATATATCCTTTTTGTTACCCCACAGATAAAGTAGTTTTGCAGCCAATCCATGAGCTTGGTGGCAGCAGCACCCTACCACTTAAACCAGCAGTGAATCTGTCTTCAAAGAAAGCCTGGAAAAGGAGTTTTACTACCTGGATGTTGCTAGGTCACGAAAAGCATATGTTACAACCACCATCAGTTTCAGAATTTCAGACAGGCTCTTCTACCTTCCTTAAGGCTCGAACAAAGGCAAAATAGCCTCAAGAAGAACTCCGTTATCCTGCTTAGTTAATACACAGAGCATTCAGATCTAATGGGTGAGCTCCCCCAGACGTGCTTACTACGCATTTGACTTGAAGAATTATAGCCTCATGGGTAACTTCTGTTGGTGTATCTGTAAAAAATAAATCAAGGCCACTGGACTGTATTTTTCTTTAAGACATTTTGCTGGTCATCCGACTATCTTTCTCAATTCAGAATTCTGAAAGCTAGACTTCTGAGTTGGGAAAGCTACTCAGATGACCACAGTTTATCATGAATGCTGCTGCCAGACTTATCCACCTAACCAACTGCTCAGTATCTGCAACCCCCCCTCTGCCAATTCCTGCACTGGCTTCCAATAGCCCAAAGGATAAAATTCAAAATATTAACAACCACTTACAAAGCCATCCACAACTCTGCCCCGGATATATCTCAAACCTTGTCTCAAAGTATCACTCTAACCATCCCCTATGCTCCTCCCAAGACCTCCTGCTCTCTAGCTCTCTTGTAAACTCCTCCCATGCTCACCTCCAGGACTTCTCTAGAGTCTCTCCCATTCTTTGGAACTCCTTACCCCAGCCTGTCCACCTTTCGCCCACTCTGACTGCCTTTTAGCGATCGCTAAAGACTCATCTCTTTAGGGAAGCCTATCACACTTCAAACTAACCACTGAACTCTTTCTCAAACAATTCATCCCCACACAGCTACTTCCTCATGTATCACTTTCCCCTACCTCTTAGACTGTAAGCCCCCACGGGCAGGGCCCTCCTTGCCATCTTGTCTTGTAATTGTATTGTAATTATAATGTCTTCCCTATATTGTAAACCGCTGCACAAACTGTATATATAAACATATAAACACTGTATAATAATAATAATAATGACCAGGGAAAAGTCTTCAAGAAAAATACAGCAAGACCAGTTGCCTTGATTTATTTTTAACAGATATACCATAACCTGGATGAAGGAGAACTTTTACAGACAACTTTTGTTGTTGTTACCTTGGAGGATATATGTAAAGTAGCCAACTGATACATTCATGACACTGTTGAACTTGAAGCTTGGACTTCTGCAAATGTTAGGACAAGAGCTATTTTTATATCCCTTGGTTCGGACACTAGTTAAACTTTTTTTGAGCATCATCCCTCCCATGTGTCTCGTTATTTATGACATTTATGCTACCATGTTGGCCACAGAAAATTGTTTCATACTTACCAAAATTCCCTTTCCTGGTGCCAATACATGGCAGCATAGTTTATTTGCCCCACCCTGCTTTGCTAGCTTCTAGTTATAAGAATGGGGCAGGCCCTTAAAGTGTGTGATTTATAGGTATTTCTTGTCTTGCGGGTGGGTATAGGAGCAGAGCCACTACCACATGTATGCTGCCATCCATTGGCACCAGGAAAGGAAAATTACAGTAAGTATAAAATAACTTTCTGGTTTTAGAACAACAACATTTTACTTGCAGCCTAAACATATTAGTCAAGCTAAAACAAAAATTCACTTGTTGGTGTGAGTATGGGTAACATACACGCAGTTTGACATGATTCCTCTTTCGAAGCCACTTCTCTTGCCGACTGGAAGGACTCATATTCATATTATCAATGCCCTCCTTCTGCTGTATCTGCACGCTCTCATACCTCATCAGCTGAAAGACAGTGAAAACTGATTAAAGGGAGTTTTGACATCACAACATGCCTGTGCTGTACCCAAATGAATCCTGACTGAAAGATGATCAATAATTAAATTATATAAGCAGGTATACAAGAATAATCTGGAATTTAGTGCTTAATGACCAGCTATGATCACTTTAGTACATAAGGAACAGACAGTGATGCAAATCAGAGGTGTTTATTCTTTGCTCTGATGCACCAGCAGCTGAAAATGTTTCATGTAACAGATAAGTATTATAAATATAGTAAAGAGCAGTACCTGCATTCTGCAAGACGTGTAAAGAGTATTGCCAAACCTAGCTGCAGGATAATTTAATAAGTGTTTTTAAACTGTGAAAAATGATCACTGGTCTCCTACTGGAGTTTAGTACATTAAGGCACATCAAATATTTATTTGTATCAACTATTTTAACAGTATCCTTCGAAACTTATTTTTCTTGCCAGTCAAATACACAGACTGCCTGTCTGGGGTATGAGAAGGCTCCATATTCTGTCAAAGACCCAGGGTTTCTATGTTCAGTCCTTAAAGCCTGATTGAATGCTCAGGTTAAATCAGCTAAATACATTGTAAGTGCATCAAAACAAAAAGGTGTTCAATATCTTCCAGTTTATTTTCTTCCAAAAGCAGTCAGACCTATATAGATATGCAATTAGCAAAGCTCAGGCTCCCTCCTGATTAGAGAGCTCTGACTTAGCAAGGGGCATGTTGGTCTTTTGTAAAGAGATAACCAAGTCCCTACAGAGAACAAGGGTTCTCTTCAGCACACTTTCAGGGACAGGCTTTTCAACTCAGGCAACAGCTGCTTTAAAAATAAAATGTAAGACATTAAACGCCTTTTGTTTTGGTCGTACAATTATTTTATTGCAACAGAACATAATTACAGAACATACAGTAGAAGTAAGGTCCAGCAGGTTTATACAATGAAAAATTGACTTAGAACAATACAACGGCGTATCAATGCATTTTGTAAAGTCATCCAATATAGAGCCAATGAAGGATATCCATATAACATCAATTAAAGGGTATGCCGAAAACAAAAGCCCCCCCGTACAGAAACTAAAGTGGGACATAAGGACCATAACGGTCTGCGTATAATCACCGGGGGTGGGCTAGCTTCTGGAAACCATAGCGTGGATGCCAGCTACCTGCTGCTGCTGCAGGATACCAGCGGAGCCACACCAGTGGGAAAATAGTGGCTAACGTTCGTATGCCGAGCAATCGTTCTAGATCGCATAAACGCCTTTTGTTTTGATGCACCTGGAATGTATTTAGCTGATTTAAACTGAAGGTTCAACCGGGCTTTAAAGCAAGCCCAATTCTTCTTATGTTGGAGCCCCTATCTTCCTATACCGGAGCCCCTTAATTTAGTGTGCTTATCATACCACTAGCAGCCTCCTTCGATGCAATGCAACCATTGTAACCAATAAAGAGGCTTGCCCTGCAACACCTAGTAGGTATATCTAGAACTATTCCATTTTATTTTGATGTGATGAAGATTGGACCTACCAAAAGGATTCATATACAGTGGGGCAAAAAAGTATTTAGTCAGCCACCAATTGTGCAAGTTCTCCCACTTAAAAAGATGAGAGGCCTGTAATTGGCATCATAGGTAGACCTCAACTATGAGAGACAAAATGAGAAAACAAATCCAGACAAATCACATTGGCTGATTTGGAACAAATTTATTTGTAAATTATGGTGGAAAATAAGTATTTGGTCACCTACAAACAAGCAAGAGTTCTGGCTCTCACAGACCTGTACCTTCTTCTTTAAGAGGCTCCTCTGT